TGACAGCTGCTATACTCCAACTGTAGTCGGCCGACTGGAGAACTGTTGATAACACACTCTCGCTCGACTACTACTGATCTCTGCGACTACTACGTTACAAGTCGAATCGGCGACTGCTGCCTTGAGAACTAACTCGGAACTGTCTTCGGTGATGGCCACATTTCAACTGATCCGCAGCCGCTGTGCAGTTCCCTTATATAGCCGCAGTGCTTGCCTGTTGCATAATGAGTGCCACGTCATCCTGTTACGTCACCGCTGTTGACTCGCGTCGCATAGCTACCAGGTTGCGGGTGCTCGGCTAACTTCGGCTCCGCTCGGCTCACTTTGGCTCCGCTCATGACGTCACCGCGGGGAGAGTGGCGGGGTGATGACTCGCCTATTACACGAGCGCTATGTTACCGCCACGTGCCACTGGGGAGGTAGGGGTCCTTTGTTGCGCAACATGTCACAATATGTATCAGGCAGTGATAAACCAAGGTTAAGAAATGAATATGCTGTATGTGGTATGGATATATGTCTTCATGTTGTAACTATCAGTAGGATTGCATTGAATAAGTTTTTTGTTTAGCCATATCTCATACTGGACACCGCTGAGGTAGACACACTAGGAAATGACGCACTGTCCCACAATCTCTGGAGGATGTTGCTAAATACTCGTTGGTCCAAAATTCTCCAGTTTGGAAATCATTGCTGGTATGCAGCAGCATATATATTCTGATCACAGGTCCAATAAATATATATGATATTTGCATATTTGGAATTTGAAGATGTAAAAGGCATAATTATGCACAAAACATGAGCAACATATTATGGGTCACAACACTACATACATAGAACCTCCAATTTCATATCAAAGTCATGCATTCTAAGATTCATGAAATTATGATGACTTATATCCAAACCATTCTTGAATTTCATATGTCCCTTGCTTGGTAACTGCTGAGAATTTGACCTATGTTTGTATGACACTTGTGATTGTGAACAACCTCTGGTAAAGCTTCTGGAGTTATACATTAAGTTGTGAAGCATCTTATATGTTATATTTTGTTCATAACAGATTTTGAAATTTGGAATCCTAAGAAGGTGTAGATGAACATATTTGACCTAAGAAGTGAAAGGGGTTAAGTAGAGTAAACTCTAGAGTGGAATGCAGATGTGCCTGATGTGGAAAAGACGCAAAATGCATACCAGATCTTGAAAAGTACTCAGTTCAAATGACATAAAGGTGATAGGAGGATAAAATTGAGATGTCTTAGGAAAACAGGTTATGCAGATGAGGGTCTTGTCCAGTGTTGGGTTTTGTGATGAGCATTGTTGAGCCTTTAGGCTCTGCTACCAGAATTATAGATAAACGTTGATAACAGGTTTGTATGTATGTATGTTTACCATATAGAAGTGGATGTGTTTTGTTATGTGATAGTAAAGACAACATACTGTATAATCCAATTGTGGTTTAAATGGGGTTGAACTTCTGTATAAACTTTTTTGTTTTGGAAATGAATCAGGAAAAACATACAAGTTTCAGCAAGTTTGTGTCACTTCACTGTCTGAACTGAATGTTCTGTTTCTTAGTAACCAGATGGCTGCATCACCAGCTTTGGCTCCATCACCAAGTTCACAGCTCACCCCAATGTCTACTGCACAGCGGTCTGGTGGTAAGTTAAGCACGGACAACACAGAAAACTCAAGTCACATGATCCCTACCCAGCGAGTTCATTGGTGTGCCAACTCTTGCATAGCAACAAGGTGTAATATTTGTCCACCGAGACACATCTTCCATTTTCAATCACTTGGATAAAGAAGACAATATATATGCATATCATGCAACACAGTGCACATAGTTATTTGTTGTACTGATAAATTTATTGGAGTTTTTGGTAAATGCATAATCAATGATTTTTTTTTGCACATTCTTCATATTTAAATGTGAGATGCACTGAAAGAAGTTTTTGTGAGCAAAATTTGCAAAAATTATTAGAAAATATTTTGCAAGAAATTTTTGATTGAGACTTGTTCATACATTTCACTGTTTGCTCATTCAGTTTGACCAGTATTGTGGTTATCAGATGTCTACTGATTATGTAAGGCTATTGATATAGTAGTAACTCTCTTAGGCTTACATTCAGGACATTATTCACATTAGATGGGTTATTAACTGTCTTAAGAGACGATTTTGATTTTTCTTCTGTTTCTTGAAGTAAATGCCACAACAGTACCATGAAATAAACTATGCCTACCTCCTTGCAAATGTTACTTACTCACTATTCTGATTGGTGCTGTATAAGATCTGCAGTTGAAATAGCTCCTAAAATAATCAGGATTCAATAGATTAGATCATTCTTGTATGTTTTTGGTTTACAGGAATGGCTCCATCTCCAAGCAGTTCACTGAACACTCCTGGCCCTGCAGTACCTACCCCTAGTCCCTGCAGCCTGCAGGAGGATCAGGCCTACAGGGAGAAGGTCCGCCAGCTTAGCAAATACATTGAACCCCTTCGTCGCATGATCAATAGGATGGGCAATGATGGTATGCGAATATTGATCTGCTTATATGTTGTAGGTTTCAGTTTTTCCCTTTTTTCTTTTTATTACTAGTGGGGTGGGACTAAGTACCTTGTACTGCGGCCCCTTCTGGTCTATTGTACCAGCCCCAGATGATAGATGAGGGTGATTGTGGAATGAAGATTGGCAAGGGAAACCGAAGTACTCAGAGAAAAACTGCCCCCTGTGCCACACTGTTCACCACAGATCCCACTTGACCAGATCCGGGATCGAACCCGGGCTGCTGCGGTGGGAAACCAGCGACTAATCTCTTGAGCTATGGCATGGCTCTTAGGTGTCAGTTTAATTGCTGACCAGTTGTTTTGTTTTCCTTCTATTAGGTAAACTTCATTATATAATTCCCACTGTATTTTAGACCTAGCAAAAGGAAGTGGAATAAGAAACTTCGTGAAACATAGTTCTAGAAAGACATCAGATTGAATTGTATTCATAGGTCTGTTTGATCGCAGTCTGAACGGAATTGAAATTGACACTAATGGAAAGGTGTTAATAATGTACTGATTATGTAGATGTGGAGAAGCTGAGCAAAATGAAGAAACTGTTGGAGATTCTGTCCACTCCAAGTAGACGAATGCCATTGGAGACTTTGATAAAGTGTGAGGTTGTTCTGGAGAAACTTGATTTCAAACGGGTAAGAGACCATGTGTAGGAGCTTTCATAAACTATCATGTAGGTATGTTCTATTTTTTGTAATCTGTGAGAACCTGATGATTAGAAGATTATTATAACCATGCATTTTCTTTGTATTTCTGTGTGATAATGTGCCTTGTGTCGAATATTTGATCAAAATACAGTACTCATCTTACATAACAATATTTTCTTTTCAATATGCTGTATATTTGAGAGGTATCGTGAGGCTGCGCATATAATTACGCACTTCCACAGCCTTGCAAGTATATTTGAAACCCCAACAAAAATGTGCACTTTGACCAGGGTTCCATTTCGATTCCTGCTGTTGATCATTCTACTTATAATTACTGCTGATTGTTACTGCAGTTACACCTGTTAAACTGAATATATAAGATGCTAAATTTTAAGGTGATACAGTTCTGTCTTCCACATTGTACAGCTTCTTGAGATTGAATCTTTCCATGCCAGGCATTTGCATTGCTTATTTAGTTACTGACAGTATGTAACTTTTTCAGCTACCAGGTGGTGAGTAGTATCACACTCAGCTTTTTTTTTTTCCCTGAAAGATGAAATACCAAGTATACTTGAATGCTGTTTTCTATCTGTGAAGATATGATTAGCTTGATTATATGTTTTGCCATCAGGAGAAGTTCAAGGATGTTTGTGAATGTTGTAATGTGGGAATGTAGTACTTCTGACAATTAGATTTTTGGATGTGGCAGAATTCAATTCTCAAACTGCATTATCATTATTCATGTTGTGTAAACTCTCATTTTCAGTTATTAGTTTGAAGATATTGTCATGATTTAGGGGTGAGACTAAAGATAGGGTATGGATTGGTGAATGGATTTATTGACCACTTATACACTCCACTCAGAACTACAAGTAATTACAGTGCTATCGCTAGTCTCCACAATTCGCAAATCACCACAGCACCCTCTTAGCCTTTTTCCAACTTGTGGTATGTTCATCAGCTGTTCCTTGGTAATGGCTTCTGACAGTGGAGATTCTTCAGCTTCACGCATTCAGGTTCTATCTATGCAACCTCTCATGCAGAGCTGTCTCTCAACTGACAACTGTCAGGCTGGCGGCAGTTTCACACCAACCTCCAAGTCTTCTCTTCACAGGCTGACTTTCAACTGAAAATAGCTAACAACTAAGTATAGCACCATCTCTTTTCAGTCTGCTTTCACTAACTCTTTTCTTCACGGCCTCCCATACAGAACTGAACTCTCAACAGACAACTGGCAACTGACAACTGAAAGGTCAGAGTCAGAGTTACATTGTGACTGACGGTCAGGCTCATGACCAGATATTAATTATTATTGTTTGACAGTTACGGTCTTGTTTCTGTGGTGTGCCTTCTCTGACAAGAGGACGGGTCAGTCTGTTGTATATGCTGCTGGCTCTTGCCAGCGCAGTCTTTCTCGGGTCCAAGTCCCTTGGGACTTGCGACCATATTTTACTGTCTCGGAATTGAGACTTGGGAGAGAGAGAGAGAGACACACACACACTTACGGATCATCTTCAGCAGGAACATCAATACTTATTCGGAAACCACCATCACAATGGGTGTTCTGATTGTTAAATTACATACACTCATAATGCCTGGAATACACAATGTACACAATATTCAACTTTTCACAATCACAGCAGCCTTCCTGGTATTAAAACTTTTAAAGTGTTTAAAAAATTTAGCTTACCTGGACTTAAATATATTTAATAGACACGGACAAATAGAAATGGAAATATACAGAAAACCCATGACAACAGACAACAATAAATAATAAATCATGCCACCCTAAAGAACAAAAATTGCCAGCATATAAAAATTGGATACACAGACTTCTTGCACTACCCCTTGAGGAAAATGCTAAAAACAAGAAATAAATACTATTATTAATATAACACTAAATAATGGCTATAGAAAGGAAGACATCACACATCTGTATAACAAACTTAAGCAAAAGATGGGTAACCCAGATAATAAAGACGAGAAGGAACAAAATGGGTCACTTCTACTTATACAGGAAATTACATACGAAAAATCACAAAACTATTCAAAAACACTAACATAAAGACAGCCTTCAAAACAGCCAACACAATAGGTAAACTAATAAATGAAAAACGAGAAATGAACCCCTACAAACAAAGTGGGATATAGGAAATAACATGCCAAAGTTGCCAAAAAGTATACATCGTCCAAATTGGTAGAAATCTAACAAGATACAAAGAACACATAAGAAACATAAGACTAAACAAGGACGAATCAGCATTTGCTCAACACGTACTAAATAAACACCATCGGTCTGTCTCCACTGACTCGGACTCAGAATCTCTCTGCCCCATTTGCCTTTAAGATAACTCCTCGGCATGAACCACACAGAAAACACCCCCATTTCCATTGTTGTCCATCTGTTGCAGCTGCCTAGCAAAGGGTTGCATAACACCATTTCCAACAGTAATTGTTTTAGAGCCGTGTTTACCGCGCTGTTGCATAGCAAAGGCTGTTGTCTTATTGTTTGAGGTCTCTGCCTAGCAGTGGGTTTGTATGCCACAATATGTTCTCGGACTACTTTTATATTGAAATCTCACAATAGAATAATCATGTGATACGTAGCGAATTGATTGAATACACGCTCTTTTTCCACATGGAAGCTGTAATTTGTACTGCCAGTGTCATCATCTGTTGGGACATGCACATTCAGAACGATGACATAACACCAGTGAGCTCTTAGTATTACATACCACATCCTATCACTAACAAATTCTGCACTCCCTAATTGCTGATGTGTTTCCTTTATGTACATGATTTGCTGTTCCTAATTCATGATTCTCAGTTGCAATCCCATAGAAAAATGTATAATCACTTGCTGATTCAGTACAACCCCTGTCCCCTCTCACAACCTATATATCCACAAAACCTAATTACACCTTGTTAATTCTTTTGCAGCTGTTGTAAGTGTACTTCCACTGTAGAGACCCGTACCTTCCACATGCAAAATCTAATATCAATTTTCCATTACTTAGATTGTTAAAAAAAAAAAACATGCAGTTCTAGGGCCTTGTCAGACATTTTGTGGCAAGCTGCCCTGTGAAGAGAAATGTGTGCAAATGTACCACCAAGCTGGAGGACCACTCAACATCATCTGGCTGTGACTGCTTATTCAGTATAAATGCAGTATAAGTGCTCAACTGTCATCACATGCAAAATAGACTTTTTTCAGCACATTGTTACAATTGTAGATGTCATTTCAACCTGATACCAATACCATACACTTCATAAAGCTAAAAAGCATGTACATACTGAAAAAGAAAAATAGTAAAATGATGTTGATTGTATTAAGTTGAACTGGAACACAATCAAGGGATGAAAGATGAAAATGTTTTGCAGTACAAGAAGTCATCACCAGTTTGACTCTTAGCCACATTTCCTCTGATCCAGCTGTTGGCCAGACATAAAGTAAATAAATCCTGTCATGTGAACAGATGATCAAAACGTGGTATTATAATTTTCCAACTTAACTTGTTTAGGGTGAAGGGAGTGTGGCACCTCAGGCAGCTCATTTAATTCCCTTGAAGGAGCACCACATTTTCAGCCCTTTGCTAGAGGCCGTGAATAATACCCTGCAGAGTCCCGTTGTGAACCACACACTGCAGCGCACCTTTGGTCCTTGCCTTGAAGTATTGTTTGGTCCTGAAATCAAGTACGTGTAGTGTCTTGGAAACATCTAACTACATATTGGTGTCTTCAAAGTTAAAAATCATTGAAATTTATAAAATTATAGCTTGTCTTCACTGACTGCATAATCTGTATTAGCATTTAATTTTATGTATTTCATTAATAATTTGTTTATTTACACTGTTATTATTATTAATGCAACCATAATTTTTTCCTTTTGTCTTTTTTTTTTTTTAATGTCCTCTTCACAGTGACATGAATTGAAGATTACTGCAGAAGGAGCCTCAAATCTTCTGACATTAGTTGTTTGAGGAGCAGTATGTTGATTAGGCATGTGCAATACTGACTTTTTCAATTTGAAACAAGATGAAGATGGAAATTTGGAACAATTTCTACAATTAAGAGCACTACAGTTTATAACAGTAGCCACTTTTTCATATTGCGTTAAAGTGTATTTCTTGTCCCCATTCATATCATATATTTTGTCAGTGAGTTTTCATAAACCATTGTATGTTTGTATGGGAGCGAAACATGATCTCTCACATTAAGGAAAAAAGCATAGACTGAGGGTGTTTGAGAACAGGGTGTTGAGGGTTATACCTAACAGGGAAGAAGTGACAGGAGGCTAGAAAAAAAAATTGCATAATGAGGAGCTTCATAATTAGTACTATTTTCAAATACAGGTAGGTTGATGAGATCAAGTTGGACAAGATGGGTGGGACATGTGAAGTTTTGGTAGCGAAACCAAAACGAATGTGATGACTTGGAAGACTTTAGCATAGATGACAGGATAATACTAAAACCAACCTTACAGAAATAGGATGAGAGAGTGTAGACTGGATTCACATGGCTCACAGATGGGACCTGTGGTGTGCTCTTGTAACATTTGGTAACCTTTGGTTACCTTAATATGCTGGGAATTAATTTCTTGACAAGCTGAGCAACTGTTATCTTTTTGAGAAAGATTGTGTTCCATTTAATTAGTTGCCATCTGTCATGTTTCTGTCAGATCAGATAGGTATGTGCTACTGTACAGAGCAAAGCAATTACCTGGAATGTTCAGAGTTTGAGATTGAAAAATTAATGTGCCAATTGAGACTAAGATATTTTCTCTTTGATCTGAAAAATCTGTGGACCACACATGCCTAATGTGGGTGGATAAAGTTAATTATTTATATATTTGCTTGTTTGTTTATTTATTATGGTTGCCTTATACTATATGAATATACTAGCTTCTGTGTTTATTTGGAGACTCTTCAGAAAATTCTGCTGCCTCAGCCATGTCAGAATGTATTAGAGGTGAGAGACATATACAGGAAAAAAACTTTGATTGTATTCCTTTGCTTCAGAATGCTCCCCCCTCCATTGAAAAAGAAGAAAATAGAGGAATCTCAAAATGACATACCTGATGTACTTCAGGGAGAAATTGCTCGTCTTGACCAAAGATTTAAGGTATGTATATTTATGTTAGAATGTGTGTGTGCATGCATGTGTGCATGCGCGTGCGCTTGTGTGTAATTACATGAGTATTGATTATGTTAATTCTAATTTGAAAATATTGCCCTTCCAGTGAAGTTTTTCCTTAGTGTTCAAGTGTCTGTGGTTTGAGCCATAATATCCCACTATTAAACTTCCTCAGATTGAGGTATCCTTCAGAATGGTGCTCCAATATAGTGTCCTCCAGAGAAGTATTAAATGGCAACAAGTTCTGCTGTTATAATGTTATTTTATTTTTATATTTTTTTAGGCATGTATCAGTAAGAAGTGTATTTCTTGGCTGAAGAACACCACAGAAGAGAATAAGGCTGCCTTCTATTGATGACAAGACATCACAGTTTAAGCAAAAACCCTAAAAACGTCTCAGAAATGTTTAGTCCATAGTTAATTGCTATTGCAACCCAAGCAAACCTGACTGTCAAACTAATCAGTTATATGATGTGGTGTTAAAGCATATGTTTGTAGTTCTCAAGTTAATGGTAGTTCATATTTTCTTACAGAAGTAGAACATTACTGTTGACCTTAAAGATTACACATACATTGCAGACACCAGAAAATCCCTCAGTTAGTATTACTTTTATAGGAAATTAGTGAGGATTGGTATTGTTCTAGGTAACATGTGCTTTGCTACTTAACACACATTACATACATAGATACTACATTTGTTCTCTCTCTCTCTCTCTCTCTCTCTGTTTTTAAATCTCTCTTGTCTTCCAGGTCAGTCTCGATCCAACTCAGCAACCTGGCTCCCGTTCTGTGCAGTTGCTATGCTGGTTGGATGATCGTCACTTGCCCTGTGTTCCACCTGTGTCCTTATCTGTGCCTGAGGATTATCCCCACAGCCCACCACGATGTCATATGGCCCCTCATGAGCACAGTTCCACACAGTTCTTGTGTGCTGTACAGAAGGCTTTGGCATCTAGAATACGAAAGCTTCCAAGTCGTTTCTCAGTTTCACAGTTACTTGATACATGGGAGATGAGTGTACGGCAAGCCTCTGCACCAACTCAGACTCCAGTGTCTGCTGCTACTGTACTCATGGGATTGTAATATGTGATATGTTTACAGTTATTTGTATATTTAAGTCTTTCGTGATGTCATCTTTAATGTAAAAGATATTTGTATTCTTAACTGAAAGTGATAAATATACTTTCTGATTTCAACCTTATTCCAAGATGTGGCAGTAAATCTGTAAAAATATGTACCAATCATTACAGGGCACATCCAAGGACTCGGTTGAAACCAGTGTTATAAACACATGCATATGAGTTATGGAGTAATTTAAGATTTAGAGTAGCCATGATACAGTATATATAACATAACCTCATTCCATATTATAAATTACACCAAAATGGATGTGAGTGAACACATCTCCATTTCCATTCGGAACCTGACATAAACTTATTGGATGTTGCTTGAGACAAACTTCAGACCCTTCCTTATTCACTTGTGCGATGTCTGAAGAAATGGGTACTTGTCATACAGATGGGCATGTTTCAGATTGCTGCCATGAGATGTGTCTGCAAGTCTTTTTATCAGTCTGTTTCAGTCTTTAATGGACATTTTCCTAAAATGGCTTATTTTACTGAAGAAATATATAAATATAAACATATCTTAACTGAATTTAGAAATTTTGTCTTCTGTAGTCTTGGTCGGTCGGTATAGTTCACTTGCAGACTAAAACCAAGGATTTTTTTTTGTTTATAGTCTTAGTGGGGTGAATATTTGATAACATGCTCTTAAGGAATTAGTATTAGGATTTTATTAACCCTTTAACTGTGAATGATGACATTAGTGACACTTAAACATACCAGTATTTTGTTCCCTGTTTCAGTAATGTCAGTGTGATCTGTGCAAGACGAGTTTTTGATGTTTCAGGGCACAAATAGTCAGCTTACTGTTACACATTATTGTTATTTGGCGCACCCTAGAGTCTGTCATAAGTATTAGATGACAAAGTGAAGTGTTCTATTTCAAGTTTTGTATGGTCAAAGTTTTGTTGCCTGCTTCCAGATATTGTTAGGAACTTAACTGCTTCTGTTTTTAGAACTGTTGATCACGTCATGAACTTAAAGCTTCCAGGAAAATACCTGAACTGTATGTCAAGTTGGGCTATGACTGCTTCCTTCTACATGTTTTGTAATTCATTACTCAATAAACACCATAACTATGAGTATAATCCAAGGAGGGCTGGGATAGCTCAGTCAGCGTAGCGACGGGCTACAGGCTGGACAGCCTGGGTTCAATTCCAGTGGCGGCATGTAGATGGTCTCAGGGGGCCACCTAGCCTCCCAGTGGGTACAAGGGGTTCTTTTCCTTGGAGGTAAAGTGGTGAGGGCATTAAGTTGATCGTTTAACTCCATTTAATGTCAATGTCTAGAATGGTGGAGCCATACTTGAGTAGCCCCTTATGTCTTCATGGCGTGGTACTTAATCATGGGGACAGCTACTTTTTGCCTTTACTATATAATCTGGGCTATTGATGGTGTCTTCTTTATTGTTTATTTTATGATTTCAGTATCTAAAGTCTAGCATCAAATGGTAGGATGACCCATGAATAATAAATTTTAAATAAAAATAATAAAATAAATTTTAGAAAGAAGTTGTTATAGACCGATTGAGGTATTGTCCAAGAGTCTTCCTGTAGGAGCTGAGGAAAACCAAGAATACAAGTCTGACGTATTACTGCTAAACATACTTCAGTGACAGTGTTATAAATATAATACAAGTAAATCACTAATTTTGTATTAAAGTATGAAAACACAGTGTTCCCTCTTTTCCTGAAAAGTAGATGTAGTCTAAACCTTGCAGGAAATAACTCAGTCTAAGAATTTTTGATATGTGACATCTTTGTAGATTAGAGAAGCATTTTACATTCTAAACTTTGGATTTTCATGACTGTGTCATCAAACTGAACACTTTTAGGTTTATGAAATAATCATCTTTTTCAGGCAGTATATTTCTAAGAACATTCTTCATAGTCACCACCATGAAAACCTCAAATCTTACATCTATATAAATGAAAATGTAAATGTGCGTTTGTCCGTGTTCTTAAATCTCCAAAAGTTCTTCACCAATTGCTTTGAAATTTTGACACAACGTTGCATTCGAACACGCGCATGTTTTTATATACCTGTTATATAGATGTCACACCCATGACAGGTAAAAACAGGTAAAAGTATTAATTGTATTCAATATTAATATACTGTAATGTGTTATACGTCGTCCATCGAATACCAACAGATCGTTGCTTAGGAATAACTGTGGCAATGAACTGTTGAAACAGCGGATCGCTGCCTAGGAATAACCGTGGCAACGAGCTGTTGTGGCAACGAAATTTTCGTTCTGATTTTATTATTTCATGTTACATTGCATAGGAATTGGGCTGAGTCGTTTACCATAGCATTCATTTCATGAGTATAATTTATTTTTTGTTGTTTTCCATTTCGTTTTCTTAACTGTTTCCCATATTTTCCGGTGCAATTGGCGGTGGGATTAGGCTGTGTTGAAATATTTCGTCAGTATTTTTATTTTTGTTTTGTTTCTTCTTTGTTTTCCAGTTCGTGTTCTTTCCTTTTTTAATGTTTTGCAATTTCATATGTTTTTGTTCTAACTTTCTTTCTTCTTCAGTGCAGTCGTTTCCATATTAACGCTAGAACAGACCATTGCATAGGATAATAGGTTCCCTTGCGTAACAACGGATGAAACCGGAAAGTATATTGGATGGAAACGCGAGTATCACAGGGTCACGAGTATCACAAGAGATTTTGAGTGAAATCAAAGCAGAAACAGTTTCGATTTATTTTCATTTTGATTTAATTATTTTGTGTTACATTGCGTTGGAATTGGGCTGTGTCGTTTACCATAGCATTCATTTCATGAGTATAATTTATTTTTCATTCTTCATTTCGTTTTTTTTTTACTGTTTCCCTTATTTTCCGGTGCAATTGGCAGTGGGATTGGGCTGTGTCGATTGATCTGCGTTTGAATTGAAATATTTCGTCAGTATTTTTTATTTTTTTGTTTTCCAGTTCGTGTTCTTTCCTTTTTTAAAGTTTTGCAATTATTTGTGTGTTTAAGATAAGACGTATAAATATCTATATATATGCAATAACTTCTTCTGTGCAATCGATCTGCTTTAGTTCATCCAAATAATGCCTCGCAGAAGATCAAACTTAGGTTGTCGTACTTGCAGGGTGGAAGCAATGCGTCGAGTAATTTCAAATCAAACTGGGGAAGAAAGGCAGACTGAGCCACAGCAAGGCGTGGCCGGGCACAGCTAGTTCAGGAATAAAACTACAAACTTACAGTGTAGTTCACAATTTGAACATGAACATCATGGTGTATTGTATGATTGATGTGTATGAAATCTGTAGGTAATTAAGTTGCATAGTATTGTTGACTCATGTACGTGGGTCAATCCAAAAGTTTCCGAAATTTGAATTTTGCGCGCAAATGGTTATGAGTACATCGAAATACTGCTAGATGTCTCCTCACACATCTTTCTTGAATCACTGTGGCAAGCGGCGTCGAGTTGAGTGGTTGGGTTTAATGTTGGTGAACGTATTTCCATTGTTGTGTGTCCGTGAGTTTGCGGTTTTGCGATGGCTGACCTGAGAGAGCAGCGTGTCTGTATAAAGTTTTGTTTCAAACTTGGGAAAACCACTGCAGAAACGCACCAAATGTTGAAGCAAGCTTTTTGTGACATCAGTTTAGGCCAGACACAAACTTACAACTGGTATAAGCATTTTAAAAATGGCCGAACATTGACTGATGATGACGGTCGTTCGGGACGGCTGTCAACTGGCACCACACCAGAAAATGTCGCGAAAGTTAGGGGTCTGATTCTGCAAGATTGCAGACTGGCCATCCAAGACCTCTGTAACACTTTGGGACTAAGTTATGGTACATGTCAACGAATTTTGTCAGAGGAACTGAACATGAGGATTGCGGCGAAGTTTGTGCCATGACTGTTGCAAAATGAACAGAAGCAGCATTGCTTGGAAGTCTGCAGGGAACTTCAGCAACAGCTTCAAGAGGATCCAAACTTTCTTTCGAAGGTTGTCACTGGTGACGAAAGTTGGGTTTATGGCTATGACCCTGAAAGCAAGCAGCAATCGTAGCAGTGGAAGAGCCCTTCTTCACCTCGGCCAAAAAAAGCTTGACAAGTCAAGAGCAACATTAAGTCCATGTTGATCTGTTTTTTTTTATATTGACGGGATTGTTCATAAGGAGTTTGTCCCTCCTGGTCAGACAGTCAATAAAGAGTTCTATTGCGATGTTCTAAGGCGTTTGAGGGAGGACATGAGAAGAAAACGTCCAGAGAAGTGGCGCACGAATGACTGGGTACTCCACCATGACAACGCACGACCGCATATGGCTTGCATTGTGCAGGAATTTTTGGCTAAAAACAAGATGGCAGTTGTTCCCTACCCACCATACTCGCCAGACTTAGCTCCATGCGACTTCTTTCTCTTCCCCAAGATGAAAATCAAGTTGAAGGGGTGAAGATTTGATACAGTTGAGGAAATTCCAACGGAAACACAGACGGTACTGAACACCCTAACAAAGAAAGACTTCCAGGATGCATTTGATAAGTGAAATGCTGGGATCGGTGTATGCGCTCCCAAGGGGACTACTTTGAAGGTGATGGTGCAGAATAAGATCTAGGTAAGATGTAATAGTTTTTATTAATATATTTCGAGAAATTTTGGATTGCACCACGTATCTTATATTAATATATAGTAATTGACTTGTTCTCTATTCGGAGGTTGTTTCTCCAAATATGGATTCTTGGAACAAATAAATTGATTGATTGAAGTAGGTAGCACTCCTGCTCTGTGGGAGGTCTCTGGTCCAAATCTGAACACAGAAACCAACTAGTCTGAAGTAAGCTTTTTTTGTGGTTTTTGTATGTTCCACAGGCAAATTCCGGGATTTTACTTTGATTAGGCCATGACCACTTCCAGATCTTTTCCAAATTTACCCATTTCCACACACTGTAGCCAGAGATACTGATACTATCGTAAATTACAGCACAAAAAAATTGCAAGCTTTGGCATCTTAAATACAATGATGTCATGTTTCAGATGAGCACATTCAAAATGGTGAGGGAAATCATTTACATTTGAATATATGTACATAAAAATCTACACAGAATGGTTAGAATTCCTTTGCATTTTGGAGGTCCCAGGGGCTTGAGGGCCAGTTACAGGGATAGCTTTACTTTTTTAGGTTCAAATGTTTGCCAGGACATGGCCTATCCTAATGATCCTATGAATGTATAAGGGGTGGGCCTTCTTGTCCCTTGCACTGCAACCACGGTGATCTAGTGATCCTAACATTATTTTTCATCTTTCTCGCATACTCCAGGACACATGGTTGGATACATGAAATTAGGCCACTATTTGCTATTGGAAGCTATATAATTACGCCTACCGAAATCATCGTTATCTAAACCATGTGGGATTTGAGGTTCTCATAACGAGTTCTGTCATCATGTGGTTTATAGCGCCGTGAAGTCCGCATATGAACCGACGTTGCGGAGGAACAATACCACCATCTTCAGGGTCGAAAATCAGCTGAGCAAGAAACCAGCCAGCACAGGTGATTTCTTGCTCGGCTGATTTTCGACCCTGAAGATGGAGGTGATACGTTCCTCCGAAACGTCGGTTCATATGCGGACTACACGGCGCTGTAAACCTCAAGATGACAATATTCATAAATACATCATCACAATGTACGTAATGAGCGTAATGAGGGTTGTATTCGCAATGCAATACAAGAAACCTTACGAAAACAATTCTTTTTCCCACTGTAAATTGGATACCCTGATACCAAATTCGGCTGTCATTTGTTTGGTTTTTTATGTTGTTGACATTTGTTGCCGTAATATTTGCGCGAATGCGAAGTAGAGAAAATATTAATATTTAGTTTCTTCTTCTCTAACGCGGAATGATGCAAAATGTCGATGTTACCCAAGGCGTCTTAGTATTTAATGTTGTGCATTTTTAATTTTATTATGGAAGAAGAACGTGAACATAATGCACTAGAATCGGAGGCGCAAACTCAAAGCGGGGTTACGATGAAAGTTAACGAGTCTCAGCATGGAAAAATGTCGCAGTTTCGTTCAGTACAAGTAGACACGGAAGGCAGTACGGCTAAGAATGATTATTCCGCAAATGAGGTAGTAAGATACGCAGTAATTCAATTTGGTGCACCAAGATACGTTATGTTACTATATTTCATAATAGTAGTATTGTTTCGATAGTATTGTTTCTGCCTTAAAGGTTATGGAAGTAATAGCACATTGGTTTCTCACATTTTGCCATATGTAGTCTGTGCATAGAGTAAACAGCACTGAAGCATTCTTTACCTGAGTTAATACTGGGGCAAGGAGGTGGAAACTTTTAAGAGTTTGGGCCATGTATAATTTTTTCCAGTGTGTTATGTTTACATATATTTGCTAGCATCATTTAACAGTCTTCAGGCTTCCTCATTTGGTATTCTACAACCTCTCTTCCTTTTAATTTTTGTGCCATTCCAATTGTTACTTGCACTCAGATCACATATACCATATTACTTTGAATATGAGATGCACATTTTTCATTTTTTTTTCTCATTGAAAATTGAGGTGAGTCTTAAATTCAAAGAATTACTCATCAGTTTGTAAAGTGTCTGTGGAGTAGCCTGGCAAGAACCTAATGTAAACACATTCAGAGTGAGTTATCAAGTCACATCATTAACTGTGAGTCAACCCACAACTTTCAGTTCAGTCATTGCCTGACATTATTATCATTCAGGTGTGTTCAGTTTCTGTCAGTTTTTACCCATGGAAAATCGTTTTACTTGTGATGCTGCATTCAAAAGAAAAGTTACTCTGTGTGCTGAAAAGAAAGGTAATTGTGCATCTGGTAGAAAGTATACAGTAAGTGAGGCACATGTATGTCATTGACAAAGTATAAAAACAAAACTGTTTTCATGTCTGACAAATAATCTTTTTCTGGAACAAGGAAAGGGAGAAATACTGAGATTGTTACCTCTGTTTTAGAGTATTTCAAAGATTTATGAAATAAAGGATTACCTGTAACTAGGGAAGCCTTAATGTCAAGAGCAAAGTAATATGCTAGAAACAGTAATATACCATTCAAGACCAGTTGTGAATGGTGCTGAACGTTTATGAAGAGAGAAAGCTCATCATTTCAGCATAGGACAAAAATTAGACAAAAACTTCCTTTGGGATTTGAAACTAAATTGATTGAATTTGAGCATTTTGTTATTGGACTATGCCAAAGGAATAAGTATTCTTTAAGTCAAATTGGCAGTGCAGGCGAAACTGCAGTTTTTTCCAGCATGCCTCACAATTATGCTGTAAATTATAAAGGGGGGAAAACAAGAGGCAATGAAAACCACCTGGCTACAAAAAGTTGCGTTACTGTCAAGCTGTGTATAACCACAAATGGCAATAAATTACCACCATCGTAATATTAAACAAACACATTGGCAAAAAAAAATTTTGCAAAGCTGTAATAGTTTGGGCCCAAAAAAAAAAGTGCACAAATGACATTGGAGTTAATGGAAGACTGGCTTGGATGTGTATGAGAACGTGAACCTGATGCATTATCAAAGTCACAGAGTATGCTTGCAATGGATCCATTTCGTAGCCATCTGTCGAATAGAACCAGAAATAGGTTAAGGAACAAAAACAGTGATCTAGTGATAATTCCTAGTAGCATGACAAGTCAATTAAACTATTCAAGCATCTTGTCCATAAACACTATGATGCCTGGCTGAATAAAGTCAACCATATATTGACACCTAATGGCAAAATAAAAAGAGCATCAGTGTTAGTAATAGTGGAGTGGATATCAAAAGCTTGGAAGGAAGTGCCAGTCAGTATTATTCCAAGGTCGTTTTAAAGTGTGGTTTGTGTAACATAGAAGATGGAATGCAAGATTACATTCTTTTGGATGGCAGTGAACAAAGTGGCGAGGGTGCATCTTCAGAAAATGAAAAGTGTGACTGAAGGATCATTGGATGAACTTTCTGATTAAATAAAAACAGGGCAGGAATGTGCATGTAGTGACAATTTTAAATTTCCATTTCATTCTAGTATATTTTCGATTACTTTTTACTTTAAATGTGTTATAAATATTTTGTTACTTTAATTGATGTATTTTAAATAAACTCATTGAAATAAATACACCTAATTTTTTTTTCTAAAAGTCTCATTTAAAAATTGTCAGCATCTTGAATTCGAAGTAGTACGGTATTTCATGGTAAAATATCTTCTTTCAGTGAGACTTATTCCAGGAGCATGGTGTTATTAAAGTGTTGTTTCTTTATTGGTCAGGTTCACCTTCTGACATGGAATAACAGTAAGTTAAGCACATGGGAGATATATTGCTATCTCATCATTTTTCTGTTGTGCAGCAGCATGAAAATAAAGTAACTGTAAGATGTTTCAAGAATAACTTTGGTAACTGTAAGTCATCTTAAGGGTTCCTTTTGAAGATGTCTCTCTCATCCTGTAGCTCTTCAATTTCTGGCCAAATTTGTGAAGAGCTGATGATATATATGCAATTCCTTTTTTCAGGCAATATCCTGTCATTGCTTGATCTGTAATGTTGCTGTGTGTGACATCGCTGAATCTTCACACAATGTATTTGGTCAGCTTAAAACATCTGATTCATCAAGAGTCTCAGTATTTGAGAAGGTGGGTCAGGTACTAAACAGAAATCTTCATAGCATCAATCTTCATAGTGAGGTGGTTTGTGGTCGATGTTTTAATCTTTTAATAGAATATGAGGAGACAAAATGCAAACTGCAGACAATACGTCTGGATCTGCTAACAAAGTTTGAGACTACAGCAAACAAACATCAGACAGCTGTAACAGAAGTGTCACGGAAACCAGCAGAGTTGGAGGATAATAGTCATAAAAGTGATGACAACCAAACTGTTGAATGTAGTGACATGACATTGTTAGTTATAACAGATGAAGGTAAAGTTGTTGATAGAAATGGAAAGGAGAAAGACACACGAGTGAAAAGTAGAAGAGTTAGAACTAAAAGAAATGCAAGCCTTACAAGTGTTGGCAAACCAAAACCATATGTATGTACAGTGTGTGGTAAAGGTTTTCGTGCATTCAGCCACAGAGTGGAACATATGTTAATCCACCTTGGTGAAAAACCATGGAGTTGCGGGGAATGTAAGAAAGCATTTCGTACAAAAAGTGCATTGAGAGTGCACTGCACAAAGCATTCTGGAGATCGGCCTTACACCTGTCAGCAGTGTGGGAAATCATTTCTTGACCGATATTATTTTGAGGAACACTGCCGTATCCATTCAGGAGAAAGACCATTTGTTTGTACTTACTGTCAGCGGCCATTTGCAAGGAAAAAGGACCTTGCTATTCACACAAAGAATCATACAGGTGACAAGCCCCACAAATGTACATTTTGCTCCAAGACGTTTGCTGTCAAGTCACGTCTTGATAGACATAGTCGTATACACTCTGGGGAAAAGCCCCATCATTGTGAATATTGTGATAAGTCATTTGCTCGGCGTGATGACTACAAAGTACACGTGCGTCTGCACACTGGGGAACGTCCATTCCATTGTGCAGTGTGTAGCAGAACATTCACCAACCAATCAAACTGTTTGGTGCATGTACGGATACACGAAGGTTCCAAACAGCAGTACTCATGTCCACTGTGTAACCAGACCTTTGATCGGCGTAGCAAGGTTGATAGACACATAACCGTTCATCACAGTAATGTATCAAATAAGCAAGCATCAGAAATCAATGCAGAAGGTCCAATAGTACCATCTGCAATTCAAGTCTTGGATGCCCAAATCCAAAATCTGGCTCCTCTTTCACTTCAACATTTGGGCCAAGTCCAAGTTGAGTCAGTGGACACTCCAGCTTTATCTCACCCAGATAGTGTCAACGAAACTATTTCACAGTCCTTGCTTCATACAGAAACCTTGCAGAATCTGACTGTTACAGATCTTCACACTCTCCAGACATTACCAGTAACTCAGGTAGCACAGCTGGAATGGAGTGATGGTACAACAGCTGGTACAACCACAACTTATGTTAACATTGCACCAGGAACTTACGTTAACATTGTAAATTGACTGTAGTAAAAAATAGTCTCCAAGTGAGAGGACGGGAATATATGCACTTCAGTGGAGATAAACTTGTAGTAGGTATAAATGAACAGCTTCTGGAATATATTCATGTTACACTATCCTAAGAATTTTCTGTTTGCTTTGAGTGAAGCGGGTTTCATGTGGTCCAACCCTGCTGTTCATCAGGACAGTATGGTTGCTTAGATTTTACTTTATCTTAACAGTTTTTAAATTTTCTCCCAACTTGCTTTTATATTTTTATACCCACATTTTTCTGCCAGATTAGTGTTCACATTTATCTTACATTCATAGTTCCATTCTACATTGTGCAGATCAGGACATTTGGCAGCTGTTACTTGTGGGTAACGAATTACATATATAAGAACACACAATCTGTACAGGGCTGATAGTAATGATCTTTAGGTTCAGTGTAGCAGGTGTATAATATTGCTGATAACACAATGCAATTTTATGTCATAGCTCTGTTACTGGAATTTTACGTTATCACCTTAATACTACCTCCCTTTCAAATATAGTATTTACAAAGGTGTATATCCACATTTGAGGTCTGTGCCTGTATGTCATATATGATATTTGTATCATGTGTTGTCTCAGAAATGAAGTCACTATTAGCATGTAGTGTAGCATGTAGCATGAAGTGTAGCATATGCAACAGGCATGTCAATGTGAGTAACAGCTAATCTGTGGAATTGGAAAGAGGACAAGTTAGGGGATAGGTTCCATCTTGTTCTCACTCACTTCCATTTAACCCCCAATCTGTACAAAGATATTTGCAGTGGAGGGAAATAACAGAGAAGAACAACAGACATAGTTGTGACAGGACACAATGAGTATGTGTTAAAATGAGAAAAATAACATACATAAGATCATGCATAGACACAGTATGCTGATATGGTTACAGTCAGAAATATTGAAATTACTGGTTTAGTTTCAGGCTTAAAAAATAAATAAAATGATGGGGCTAAGGCTAGTGAAAAGATATATGAGGGGAAGTCAATAATTATCTGCAATGCAGTTGTATTTGTGTTTCTGTTGGCAGCACTGTCATTTTGCGCAGCATCGCCATACCTGGTTTCCTTGTCATTATTTCTGCACAGGTTTGATGTTGCTAGGTCAGTTCCATCGTCGCTGCCTTGCCGTTAATCATGGCTGCTCTGCTTTCTGTTTGCACCAGAGAAGAGCAACGTTCAGTGATCCGGTTTTTGTGGTCAGAAGGTGTATCAGGGGCCGCAATCCATCAAAAACTTTCAGCACAATAGGGGCAACAGTGTTTTGCCGCAACGGAGTGTGTACGAATGGATTGAAAAATTAAAAAATGGTCGCACAAGTGTTACGCATGAGGAAGGAGCCGGATGAACATCCACGGCCACAAATAAGGACAACATTGAGCGTGCACGTGACATGGTTCTGTTAGGCAAACAAGTGACTATTGATGAAGTGGCAAATCGTCTGCAAATTAGTCATGGTTCTGCCTACGAAATCATCCACAACAGACTTGGGTTTCATAAAGTCTGTGCAAGGTGGGTCCCAAAACAACTCACAGTGTTGCATAAACAAACGTGCTTGGACATCTGCCAACAACATTTGGATCGCTAGGGTAACGAACGTGATGTCTTCTTAGACAGAATCATCACTGATGACAAAACATGGATCCATCATTGCGAGCCGGAGAGTAAACGGCAGAGTATGGAATGGAAACACCCACAATCGCCCAGCAAGAAAAAGTTCAAAAGCCAACCATCTGCAGGAAAACTGATGCTTACAGTGTTTTGGGACTCACAAGGCCCAGTACTGGAACATTATCAGGAGAGGGGCACAACAATAAACAATACTCGTTACAGTGAGATGCTTACGGACAGGCTAAAGCCTGCAATTCGAAGCAAACGCCGAGGACTACTGTCGAAAGGTGTTGTGGTGTTGCATGACAATGCCCATCCACATACTGCTGAAATCCTCCGGAAACTCAAGTTTGATGTACTGGCTCATCCTCCGTATAGTCCTGATCTCGCCCCTTCTGACTACCACTTGTTTGGTCCACTCAAAGAGGCATTAAGGGGCCGTCGATTCACCTTGGACCAAGAAGTGAAGGAAGCGGTGCATGCGTGGCTCACTGCTCAGCCGAAAACCTTTTCTGAGGGCATCAGGAAGCTTGTGCAACGATGGACCAAGTGTGTTGGAAAGCAAGGGGACTATGTTGAAAAATGATGTTAATGTAAGTTTTCTATTTGTATTGAAATAAAATTTATAGCTACATTGCGGATAATTATTGACTTACCTACGTTTATGAAATATATATATATATGAATAACAAAAGCTACATGCTTTAGGCAAAACTGGGAAACTGATTGACTAATTAAATTAACAAAGAACACTGCAAGTGTTTAGAATCGTGGACTCAGTGCACTGTGATAACACATGTTGCCTGCAGTGATGTAACAGCAGAGGACCTGCGTTAGGCAACCATTCCCCATGGTGATGTAACAGCAAAGGAGCTGCTGCTGCTGCTAGGTAACGGGCCAGTAAACACTCCCCCCCCACCGTGATTTAATAGTGGACGCTGTGTTGTGCCACGACAGCCGTGGAAGCTGCCAGCCAGTGTACAGTGGTGCGCCGACAGAAGACAGTGTGTGTTGTGCCGAGACAGAGAGCCGTGGAAGCCGCTAGCCAGTGTACAGTGGTGTGCTGACACAAGACAGTGGAAGCCGCGTGGAGAACAGAACAGTTCTACAGTATAGTGAGAGTTGTTAATGCAAAAGGAGAGACTGTGAAACGACTTGTTCAACATTTTGTGTTATAGTTACTTGAATTGTAGTTACGGCATTGACTAATAAAGTGACGATGCAAGAATATGCCCCTCGAGGTCTTGTTCCATGACATTTTTTTGGTGCCAAAACCCAGGAGAGGGATACATACGATACATTTAGACTCCAAGACTTCAAGGGAAAGGAGAAGACTGATGCCAATGGTCGCTGATTTTAACTTCGATCTGTCGATATTCATGACTTCTGACTTTCAACAGACCCCATACAGATGATCAATTAGCTTGTGAGATTGTACTTGGAGATACCCTCACAACTCGACATGGTGGACAGCGAACTTGGAAGACTAAAGAGGAAGCACTCCATGGCAAGGGCAAAAGTGACAAGGTTCAGTACCCTTATAATGGAATTCACTGCCAGCACCCCACTTGTGGATCATGAGTACTACTGAGACTGTCTACGGAAGACCCTGGATCAACTACTTTCATTGTATAACGATATACAGGATCCTTTAAATGACAATGAATACTCGATTGATGTGGAGGTGGCTGAAGACTACATCGCTGTATGCGAGCAGGCACTTTTGAAAGCCAAATGAGAGATTGAGAAGAGGCCCGTCTCGACAGGAGAGAAGCCTAACTGTAAAAGAAAGACGGAGTGGATGCAGCTCCTTGAGAAACTAAAGGCCAAAGAAGAAATGCTGGCAAAATTGGACGCCGATAGGAAGGCCTGTCGAGAAGAGATGGTAGCCAGCCTAAAAGAGGTGGCCACCAGCCAGGGGAAATGGAGGCCAAAAACAGACGAAGAGACGATGGCCTGCTGAGACATGATGGAGGTGCACCCAGAAGAGGAGAAACTGACCTCAGTGGACAGGAAACATAAGGCGGCACAACAAAAAAAGGTCCCCATAGAAGATGCCAGTCAAAGGACCCAGAGAGTAGGGCTGCTCAAGAAGAATTTAGACGTACGATAAAGGAACAAAGGATCGATGCAGCAAGTGGCCGCTATCCAGGAGGAAGAGGACAACCATGGACGGCATCCGGAAGTGGAGCCTGGGAGAGTGAGCACTTCTGGGAAGCGGAGAAACACTAAGGAAAATCTTATACGACAGCTGCGGTCCGAAAAACACGAAACAAATGCCCAAGGCTTCCAGCAGGATGCAGAGAATCATGGACTGGACCTTGTGGAGGGGTCGACCTCCAAGAAGGAAAAAGGGACTGCAAACAGAGTAGGAACTGGTAATATAGAAGCACTGGCCTCCCCAGCTAGAATGAGTGAAAGAGAGGGTGAGAAAGAGAGTGAATGAGCAGTTGTAGAACGGAAGAAAAGAAACACAAGACACACCTGGAACATTTCATGGACATGACAATGAACACAACGAGAATGAGTCGTCCAGTGTAGCTGGTCATTCCTTTGTACTGATCAGGGTGGGGAGGATGTTGAGAATCGTGGACTCAGCGTGATGTGATAACACACCTGTTGCCAGTAATGTTGCCCACGGTGATGTAACAGCATAGGAGCCGCTGCCTTTGCTAGGTAACAGGCCAGTAAACACTCCACCCCCCTGCTGTGACATAACAGCGGACACTGCTGCTACTAGGGGCAACAGGGAACAGTATAGTATAAGAAGCCAGCTGAGCAGTGTGCGCCGACAGAAGACAGTGTGTGTTGTGCCGAGACAGAGAGCCGTGGAAGCTGCCAGTCAGTGTACAATGGTGCGTCGACAGAAGACAGTGGAAGCCGCGCAAAGAGCAGAACAGTTCTACAGTATAGTGACAACCCTTGATGTCTTGTTCCATGACAGCAAGCAAGTACAGCTGAGAAGTCAAAAGAAAGCTTAGAATACATCACCCAAATATGAACAGAAAACAGTTTCCACCATCTGGACATACAAACACATATTTGAACCAGCTGCTACGGCTGACTTGGTGCTGCTCTACTCCAGTCTGAATCACAATACTGGCCAGATTTAGTGCAAGCACACATGTAGAAGTCAACAACTGCTAGTGTCACACTTCTGTATCACAAACCTCTTTACCCTATATATGCCTATGCCACAATGCTGGCCCTTTTGCTTTTGTTACACTTTGGTTTCCTGTGTTCAGGGAATGTTAAATATATTGAATAAACCTAATTTGACAGATTTTTACAAGTTTTGATTTAAGTATAAAAAGTGAAGGCCATCATCTGTAGCTGGAGCACGGTAAAGAAACTACAATCTTCATGGAAGTAGTATCCATAAACCAAAGCTTTCATGTGGAAGAAAAGGACTGTATGATTACAATCATCACATATATCTCAGGATATTTTTATTTACAGTGACTACCAAAACTCATATGAAGTGTAGATGGGTCAATGGACTGATTACACACAACTGCATGGAACTCTTCATGTCCACCACTGTGACAACCTCAAATTATACATAACAGCTTCACATTATAAGCCCTTGAAACAATGACGTTCACAAATGCTTTGTCTAAACATTACACATGCACATATAGAAGATGAGACTGCTCTGTTGGTTTCCTAGTATGAAAACTCTGTGAATTGAATTCATGTCTACCAACCAAGCCTCTGATTTGTATTCCTTTTCTGAAGGTGGTATTGTGTTAAGAGTGTCAATGCTTTATATTCTGAGATACTGACAGTGTCATTAAATCATAAATGAAATTTATTAACACTGATATAACACTGAAATGTTTCAAATTATTAAACTCTGTTGGGTCTTCTATCAATGAACCATGCTAGAAAGTCCAGTCTATATACTATCTATCACAAAAATAAAGGAATATAATGTTAATATAAGTACTCTAATGATGGAATTTGAAGCATTTATTTTGTTCACTGTATACTTTGTTCATTCATAGTCTGCAATGAGCACCATCATGTATACACCAAACAACAAAGCTATAATTTCTTTAACAGACTGCCAAAGTTTGGTATCTGCTAACAGCTCAGGAATCACAGACACTGTTGCAATGTAGATAAATCCTCCTGCAGTGAAAGGTAGAATCCATGTGGTTGCTACTTCACCTGCAACAATCAGAACAACATTTAGCGTTCACCGTTCTCTGTCGCTGGAATTTATATTTAATCTCTGACTGTGAAGCTCTATCACAGAATTACCTGCAAAAATGCCAAGGATGATGGTCATAAGCTCGGTTGCACAGACAAACCTATAATACTTTCCTCAAATGACCTTCAAACAGCAAGGGGAATATATCTGTAAACATTGGTATGTCACACCTGATGCCATCTTTTGCAAATATTAATTAATTACCAGTGAGCTGTTCTCTTTGTCTGTGGAAGTTTTAATGCAAGTATCCTAAGTTGATCTGATCGGTTCATGACATGCAAAGGCAAGGGTTAAGGAATGTCAGGAAATGTGGATACTACAGGCAGTTAAGGAGTGAAAGAGGTATGGGTATCTTATAAAAGACGTTCCTGCTTTAATATCAATCTTACCTGTGCATGATGCACCCTGTTTTACAATGAAGTCTGGTGATGAATGATGCAGTGTACATATTACATTTTATTGGATGAAATGGTACTACTAAATTACATGTTAAGTGCAAGTTTGGTTTTTAAGTTTCCTTTTGGTTTAGTTTTGAGGGTCACAAATAACAGATACATGTGAGCAACATTTAAAGGAATAGGAATACCACCACCACCACATATTACAATTCATACAGCGTTACAAAAATTCACAATATCTAACAATTCTATAATTTTAATCCACAGCATTTGTATATATCAGAACAAGGGGTGAATTGGGGCATAATATGGATGCAATGTTGTCTTGGGGAAATCATGGGTGAGGAAGTAAACTGGCTGAAATACCTCACAACAGGTCTTATGTTGAAAATTTGGGTTCTCTGAAAATTGAATAACATTTCATCTGCTAGATGTAAACATACAAACATGCATAAACGTGGTTTTATGAGGCTACCAAACGGATACAAATGACTCAAAATTGGGTTGTGTGGTCATGACTGTTTCAGTTCCATAGTAATGGGAAGAGACATTTGAGTTACCAAACTTATGCATATAAACTTGAAAAAGTAAAGATATCCCTGAGCCTAATTAAACAGCATTATGCTTTGAAGAATATATGGGGAGTGGATCTCTGTGCACTCTTAAACTCGGCACTAGATGGAGGTGTATGGTCAGCTCAGCTTCACACCCCAGCAACTTTACCTCAGGGAAAGAGACTGTACATCATAACAACCAGATGGTAAACAATGTACAGTCCCAAATAACTAGGTAAAATGAACTCAAAACAAAAAAGTATTCAGCAAGCTGTAGTCAGTTTTGATAAATGATGCATCCATTAGTCTCTGTGAGAAGTATGGTACTATGAAATTATCACTGTCCTGGAAAGCCCAAGGAAAACCACAAAAGACCCAGTCAGTATGCACTAAAATTCTTAACTCTATTCATTCTGTCAATCACACTAGTAAACTAAATTATATAATAATAACTGTTAACACCATCCAGTGTGATTCAATTTATAGATATTTATTGCTTTTACGTGTTTTGGTCAGCTGACCTTATTAGGAAGGCATAAGATCAACATGCTCAGAAACTACTACTACAAATTTCATAATACATAGAAGTTTTTACATAAAAGTTATTTACAGTTATTTGGATTAAAATCTTATTAATGTTTAATATCCAAGATCTTGAACCGATATGATTTGTGTCCCTGTGCCTCTTCTGTTAAAATGGAATAATGAGGTGTTATTCAGAGTCCTTAGTGGTCCTTGTAGTGATGCCCACTTTTCTTTAGCTTGTTATCGTTCTGTATCATTGTGATGTCTAGTTGTTTCTAAGGCACTCTTTTTTTCTTGTGCAAAATGGAAACAACCAGACATCACAATGATACAGAACCATAACAAGCTAAAAAAGGGGGGAGCATCACTGCAAGGAATGCTGAGGACTCCAAACAACACCCCATAATTCTGTTTTTAACAGAAGAGGCACAGGGACACAAACCATGTTGGTTCAAGTTCTTAGATATTAAACATTAATAAGATTTTAATCCATATAATTGTAAATAACTTATATAAGCACTTATAAGTATGTATTATGAAATTTGTAATAGTAGTTTCTGAACATGTTGATCTTAATACTTTTGAAGATGGTCAGCTGACCAAAACACATAAAGGCAATAAATATCTATATACTGAATCACACTGAACAGTGTTAACAATTTACTAAAGCTCTACTGCTAAGCTATGGCTGCTCTCAAATTTATTGCCATAGTAGATTATGTGGTTTGTAATGCCACTCACCCTTCACCAGCAGAGACACGACTGTTCCCGCAAGAGCCCCTATTGCAGTGCTGAGTTGTAGAAAAATGGCCTGAAATGTTTAAAGACCACTGGCTAAAAATATGTATACAATTTCATGTTGATAACATTTAATGAACCCTGTTACTGTTATGAAACACTGTTCATTGTATGGTCAGGTTTTTTTTTTTAATATGTTACATTATGTGTGGTATATTCCCTCTCCAATAAGCGATGAACAAACATTTTCCTTCTCAAGCTCTTTTTTCGGTAATTGCAACTTTTTAAGTAACCTGACAAGACATTTCCCAGTTGTAGATGATGTTCAAGCTGCAACCAGCACTGTAAGGGTGTAATAATACATTCTTACCCATGTTTTATGATCAGTGGATGGGCAACACAGAAATCTGAGTTGTATGATGTGGAAGAGTACATATTATTTATCACTTTTATGATCTAGATTTACTTCACTAGTTGTGTACACGGTTGCTTTGTGTGAATGACAAAGTCTGTGGTATATTCTGATAGGAATGATGGACTTCAACACAGGTGGTGTGTATGAAAGAAAGTGACTGTGGCACTTTTGCAGAACATCTTCAGGGAAGTTACCATTGTGACATATTTATGAGTTTTCCCAGTCAAATACTATGATCAAATTACACAGAGTTCATCTATGACTGTCAACTGGTACAACACTGATCAGGAGTGAACATCCATGTTAAATTGGTGGTCTCTGGCATGTTGTGGAAACAGATGAAATCAAAGCAAGATTTGAGATTCTCACAGTGGTTACTATGAAGCATATTATCTTCAGGGATGTCACACTGTGTATGTAGTCGGGTAGAAGTTTACCTGATGGGATATCCCAGAAGCTCAGAGATATTCCACCACTTCCTAGTCTAATAATTTTTCTACAGTACAAATATTAAAATATTTACCTGAACAGACCATGTACTTACAGCCAACCATAATAATGGCCGGTCTGAAATGAATTTGAAGCTGAACAGACAATTTAATGCATAAATGCCTGATCTCTTTCAGTACAATAACATTACAGTAAATAAAATTCTGCTCTATGGGCCCTCTCACCTCAGAATTTGCGTAAGAAACTTGTCAAGCATAGGCTGAATCTTATGACTGTCTTACATTCAATAGACAGAGTTACATATGTATACTAGACTTTCAATTATCCACATGCAAATTAACTGCAGAACTTTCAGTTCTTAGTTACTGGGTGTAGCTTACTACAATGACTAAAATGCTGCCCTTTATATCAATTTCAGCAATATGCATCAGTGATGTTTTGTAATGATTTACAGTGGAATTGCTGTTGCAACTTTTGATTTCAAGGGGCATCTTATCACTGAAGAAGGGATACTTTCTTTTATTGGAAAGATATGTATGTCACTTTGACCAGTAGTATAACCAATAGACAGTACTGGCTACAGTTCATTATAGATTTTAACTTCAGACAGAATTTGCAAGATATATTTATCAAAATATGACATGACCCTGAAAGCCCTATTTTCAAATTTTAAATTTATGGGGGTGGGGGAACATTTTTAGCAATTTCAGAATTGTCAAGGTTTTCCACTCCACTAAGGTTGTATATCTTTGTATCATCCTTATTTGAACTCTTGAAATGTTCTTGTGTAACTGGCACATTTTAATTGTTTTAATTTCCTCCAGTGACTGACAAATTTTCATCCTGCAGAGTAATTGTTGGCTCCTTCCACATGCTTCAAAGCCCTTAAGTTAAAGTTTGTATCACAGCTGCAAAGCACACCTTTCAGCATCTGTGACACTGCAAAACCTCTATTTTAACATCACCATCCATGACTTATACCATGGAAGCCTAATTTTCTGCTCTCACATAAATTAATGTAGAGGTAATATGTGCATACACTAAAGCTTCAATGTTCCAACTAGTAAGTAAGTAAAGCTATCCCTGTACCTGGCCGTGAAGGCCCATAGGGTTGTGAGACGTTGAGGGTTCCACATTATCTAGACAATCAGCTCAAAAATGGCGGTAAGGTTGTCAGCCTTATGTGCCGGCCGTGCTTTACTCCCCAGGAAAGTTATTTAATTAATTCCTGGTACTAATTTCTGTTAGAGGCTGAGTAAACCCCAGGGCCTAGTGCAGCTGGAAGGATGATCTCATCGGGACTTGAACCTGCAACCTTCTGGCTTGTAGCAAGCCCCTCAACCAACTACGCTACCGTGTGCCCGTTCCAACTAGTGCTAGCACTATATACACTGCAGTGTTAGTTTCATGAGAGTTAACAGCATAGACACTTCTTTGACCTTTAACTGAAAAAGAGAGCACTATGAAATAGCCACATTACCCACCCAAAAAGCATCACATGCATAGTACTACTGGCAATGTAAAAACAAGAAGTCTAGCACAATATTTTCTATGTATGTCAATGTAAAACTGCTCATTTTTGAGGCAGCCACGTATGAAAAGATACTTGTCCAACATTCATGTCATCTCTAATCATCCAGCTCGACTTCTCCCCTCCATTATCGTGGATTGGTTGTGATTATATTTCTTATGGTTCGGTCATATTAACATTAAAGATCTGATGTCACTTCTGCTACGACTACACTATTAAAAAACACTGACTATGTTAGTATAGAACATTTAAAATTTGTGGTGGTTTCAACTCATTTCAGCCACTAGTAACTGAGGCCCATCCTGTTCCTCAACATTAGCTATTCAGAGTCTGTCTAGCTTTGTCCTTGCTGGTATTTATAAAATTTATTTTGCAAATAATCAAAACATTCAGTTGGTAGGAGATCCAGCCTCACTGTAAAGAACTTTCAGTTCCTTCACCCCTGGCAGGGGGATACAGGTCAAAAAGTTTGTATGATCACAACTACAGGATGCAAAATAGCACACAGTAAATAAGACAAGTCATTACTGAATGAGTGGTGAACTGAGCCAACAGAAGTCTACCCCAAACATTCTTTAAGGGGTTAATAACAGACTTATGATTTGTAATATTTTAGGATACTCTGATAGGAGTTGTTGCTGATAAATACAACAAAAGGAAAATGTAAAGTTTTCCACATAAAATGTGGTTTTTGCTTTAGTATACCTTCCTCCTGTTGCAGCCAGACTGGATCAGTATAGCAAAATCGCTGATTTCATGAGGCACCTCATGCAACAGAATAGTAATTGTTGTGATGATGCCAATATTTTGGGCAGCAAGATATGATGCACCAATAGCCAGACCATCAGTAAAGTTGTGGGTAAAGTCAGCAGCCAGATTCAGGTAACCAGACACTTTAATTTCATCGTCTGTGAAAAAAGGGAATAATAACAGTAACAGGATTCATTCATTCATTTCCTTTATTTTCCATATATCCATATAGGTAACAAACCTAGGATGGGGAAGTGGTCCCTTTGAAAATAGATATATCAAAATACATAGACAAAGTTACATGAGTCACATAATCAAAATCACTTACATTAATCGATTAACATAAATAATAATATAAAGTAAAAAAATGTAATAAGATTTTAATTAATAAACATAATTTACATACAACTTACTATAAAACTTGAATTAATACCATTTTATTTACATTGCCTATATTAACTGAATTAAATACATTACAAATTTACACACCTATGACCAATTATGTTGATAATATTCATTCATGGAATAAAAAGAATGATGATACAAAAATTTCTTCAATGCAGATTTAAAACTTCTCTCATCAGTAGCCAACATTTTTATTGTTTGAGGAAGATGATTTAAAAACTTTAATACCTGATATGGAAGCACATTTATTTTATTTTGTTAGGTTAACTGCAGGTAAATATAAATTATTGAGGGCTCTAGTTTTATATTTGTGAATCTCACTGTTAAAATTATATAAATGTTTATTATTAATTGTGTATAAAAGTAATGAATATATGTACTGGGAGTAGAATGTCATTATTTCCAAATTCTTAAAAATGTCCCTACAAGACTCTCTTCATCTGGAATGTGTTATAATTCTAATAACTTTCTTTTGCAATATAAAAACTTTGTTAACACAAGAAGAGCCACCCCATAACTTATGATAGAATGCATATGAGCAAACTAAATTAGCCTTAATGTATCTAAAGGGACAATATATTTTATATTTCTCAATGCATAACATGCAATGGAAATTTTATTAATAACATAATCAATATGCTGTTTCCACAAAAGAGTATAATCAATAATTAGTCCCAGAAATTTTGTCTCAGTCACATTTGTTAAATTTATCTGATCATAGTTAATTTGAGTATTACTATTATAATAATTCATACGTCGAAACCCGACATATTTTATAGTTGGAAACCAACTTGTAGTTTATAACGTACACCACAGAAATTTGTTTTCTTGATTTTTCATGTACTGGCTCTTGGGGTTCTAATAGATGTAGCAACACGTTCTGTTGCATTTTCAATTAGGAATTTTGAACTTCATCTTAATTTTCGCAGCCAACAAACTGTATCACTGTGTTGACAATCTCTTTGCCTTTATTGCAAATAGTAGTTACCAGTATTCACTATGAGACAATATTTATGATGAACTATATAAAACATCATACACACTGTACAAGTAAAACACTGAATGAAAAGGTGACCATAACTTAGCCTGCATACTTTCTGCATTTACAATGTAGCCAGATACTTTTCTTAACAACTCTTAGAATCATTTCCTGGCTGTTGCTCATCATGCATTGCTCAGCAATTATAAAGATTAAAAGTATGGAGAATAATATAAATAAAACCTGTGTGTGAGTGAGTTTTAAGACATGTCACGAATGATAGCCATATTCAGGCATATACAACCACTGATCCTAATGCACCTTGAAACATGCACACACAGGATGTTCATATTATTCTTCATACTTTTCATTTCAAAATTTTTGTATTACACATTACAGTTCATATACACATTTAACATATCAGGAAAAATTTTAGAACTGAACGATGATACTAAGATTAAAAATGGCTGTTCAGAAACTGCACAGTATGTAATAAATAGAAAATAATATGAAAAATATCTGGGTACTACCTAGTTACATTAATTAAAAAGGCAAAGTTTCTCCTGTGCTTGAAGATGTATGGGGAAGTGGAGTTAGAACTCCACCATCCTTGACTTTGGCACTAGATGGTGAGTGATCAGCTTCACGTTCTGGCCACTTTATCCCTAGGGAAAGAGCCCCAGTACCCACTGGATGGGAGGTTGCGTGAGCTCCAAAGCTGGTCTGAACACAGTGGAGAAGATAAAAAATCTCTTGCCCTGCTAGGAATCAAAGCCTGGCCGTCCAGTCTGTTGTTATATTGACTCAAATCTCACAGCTCCTGCATACTTACTTTACACACACATGTAACTTCACAATATACCTCAATATCACATACTGGGCTGATGTATATTTTACTGTGTCCTGCTAAATCCGAACTACTACCAAAACATACATTGTGATTATATTAATCCCGATAAGTAACCTAATATATTAGTTAACCTCCTGGCAAACTACATGATTTTATCCACTCAAAATACCCATATAAAATTAATTAAAAGGTGTAAAATTAAGTGTTCCATTCTTGCCAAAAGCATTTGGTACATTTTTCCCTCAATATAAAAACATTTTAGATATTGTCTGGTAGTTTCCCAATCATGAAATTTGTTAATGCCATCCAAATATGTGAACATCCTGCAGTTGTCAAAGTACAGCAGTGGGTTAATATAACAAGGCAGCTTTTACTGTATTAAAATCGTGAGAATTACAAGTCAGTGTGTCTATCTGCAGTTCCAAATGAAACAGATCCTGTTGTATGGTAAGTCCATAATTTAAATATTTTCTGATCCTACTACATACCTTGATTTGCTGCTGCTTTATCAGTGCCTTCTTTCTCTTTCTTTCTTCTATTACCATCATTTTCACTTTCAAGTTTGTTGCTAGATGAGCTTTCATTACTGTCAGAGTCAGTTTCCTTCCTGTCATGCTCATCATCTGATAGCAAACCATGCGACTGACCACTGTGTGAATGACTGTGACCACCTTTAACCAGTCTCACAAATTTCTCCACCATCAGAAATGCTATGATCCCAAAAAGAACCCAAAAACCAACGACCATATCATGTCCATGAGAGATACTCTCACCAGCCCCACCATGGGAGTGGGAATGTGTATGGGGGGAGGACTCATCAGATTCATGTGAATGGGCTACTAATGCATGGGGAATCAAATGAAGAAATGCATCACCCAATAAACTGCCAGATGCAAAACTAAGCAGGATTTTCAGCAGTGGCTCCTTTTCTTTAGTGTTGTCTAATGGTACTAGGAACAAAATAAAAAATGGAGCTGCACTGATAAGTACTGTAGAGCCAATTGCTTGAGTCCACAAAGTGAAAGTATCCTTAATTTCTTTTTCACCATTAGCATGCGCGTTTTTGGACTTCTGTAATGGAGCTTCGTAATTTATATTGGCTTCTCTGGAATATTTAAATGATGGTAATTCATGGTGCATATGGTCGTGTGTGTGTCCTCGGTGTTCGTCATGTTCGTGGTAATGTGAACGTCCGTGATCAGAGTGACTATGACTTTCACATAACAAAGGCAAATCTAAGAAAATCAATATGAATAGTATTCCTAGAAGAATAGTCCCGACAAATGACTTACAAGTGACAGGTTCTGCGGTCATTGCTCTTGACGGCGGAAAATTACAAATTGCATTCACATAAACTTAAGACACAATTCTACAACCACAGTTCATCATACCGACCGAACAATATATGTAGAACAGATTGTTCCTGTGTAATTGTTACGTTTCAAGATGCGCAGGACGGTACTAGCCGCTCTCTAACATGTAGCCCGGTTAGTATGCTGTCGTAGGCAATGTTATGTGATGTAGTACCGGGTTCTAGCATTGCACGAACTTGACGAACTAGACACGCATCAGCGTTTAGCACAGATGAAATTGATACGTGGAACAAACAATGTCGAGGCCCGTCAACACGGATTGTATGGTTACATTCGTACGTGATCCACAATAATGAGGTTTTTCATCGGTCATGAATTGAGGAATGTTTCAATTGTGGTGTGCGTTCTTTTTATAATTTAACGCAAAATTATAAATTTCAAATATTGTGTTGTTTACAAATCCGCCCTACTTGTATTTTAAACACTGTTTGCAAATTCTAGTCAATGCTATTGTAACCGAAGTAAATTCATGTGCTATTGACGCTGTTGATATTTGACTTGGCTGGTAGTGTTGGAATTTGGGCCTAAACTACGAACATAGGTGATGCAATATCATGAAGCATGCACTAGCGGCATCTAAGATCGGGGATCTGTACTTGACACTCAAATAATTCCAACTGTTCATGATAGATATGCTTCCGTCCCTCCAATCCAATCCTCTCTCCTTGCTCATTGACGCTCGTTGACGCTCTTTGAGCTCTCTCATATGCGCTCATATGGCTCATATGAACCAATCAGAACGATCGCAACATTACTCGATAATTCGAAAATTGTTTCGTTACCGGTAAAGAGTGATACGTGTCTGTTGGATGGTAAATACATTTGGATTTGGGTTAATTAATAATCCTTGCTTATGGTTATCAAACAGTTAAACCATGCTGTTAAACAGTCGCATCGATTTGGTACGGAAATGTGATTTGTACGAATTAAACCTGTTAATAATTCTACATTATTATTTCAAAATTGCACGTCGGAATATCTCAAGGCATATGTGAATATTATTAATAATTTATTATACACATTTCATACATAAAGTGTTTTGTTCTTACAAGTTCTGCACAGGTTGTATTGCAGACAGTTAATCAGAATTTTCCAGTACTTTTTTTAGTACTGAAAAAGTGGACTACATTCTTAAGTAAACAGCATGTAAGTAATGTATAAATTATCACTGTAATCAAAACATTTCCTTCTGAGATCACCAATAATGATGTTATGAGAAGAATGATCACCCATGTTTTTATTTGTAGTTACAAGATTCAGAAAAATGTTAAACGATTTTTTTTTTTCACATAAACTATAGAGGAATGAATGGACGTTTTGATGATCATGAGAATGTAAACGTGCAACATAGCTTGGCTGTCATTAAACTTTTATGATTTAAAAATGATTAAAGTGTAACAACAGACAAATCATAGATTGATGATTCTGGTACTGAAGTGAGTTTGTGGGTCTTCCTTGACCATATTTGGTATATACAAGGTGATTCAGAACCTTGTGGCTAAACTTAGCAGGTTGCTGGGGAGATAATGTGGAGCAGAAAATGTAGGTAATTCTTTGATTCATCACTGTTAGCAATTTATGATGAGTCACCGTTTTTTAAAAAATTATTTGACGTTCATGTATGCATTTGGTTGTGTACATTGAACATCTTTATTTATTTTAATAACAGTATATGAAAAGCAAACTGTCTGCAGTTCCAGCCCAAACTCCAAACTGAAACGGAAACACTAAACCTTTTTTTACAGGAAGAGCCTTGAGCAGCATGAGGACTCTCAGTTCCTATTTATATAGGTTGTGGGGATTATTTACTGTACCCCATGCAGAATTTGCCTCATCAATCCACAGCACCTGGCAGAAAATGTAGGTTCACCTACAGCAGAAGCTGTCCAAAGAATTGGAGGTGAAGGAAAATGTTTCCTGGCTTATCCCATATGCAAGTTATAAATGAAAAGGATTCATTTTCTTCTTGTGCAGCATATGTCAGTCTCCATCCTGAGATATGTCTGTTTAGTATGCAACCAGATGAGTTGTAGTTGATTGATTTGCATTTGCATCATCGGATTCTGCCTATTCGTTCTGCACATTATGTCTGCTGCAGCTAATATGTGGTGGCATGGAAGTGCCTATGTCCCTCATTCTGCAGTGTACCATTCCAAAAGAATATGTGCTGCATTGCCTCTTATGTGGATATTGATTCTGACATTCTCTTGATGAAGCTGTAGCATTCATTCATCCATATTTATTTTATCCTATAGCTCAAGATACACTGATGTATGATGTCCATCTACTTTTATATTATTACTGAAATACATAAATGATTATGGTATAAACTTGTAAGAAATATAGCTTATTCTGTTCATCTGCTTATCAATAGTCAAGATCTATTTAAGGGACTAGAGAGCTTCCAGGGCTTCCATGTGCATTTATATTTTCATTAATAAACTTCATTACAAATAACAGTACATTTTCAGATCAATGCAGATGTACACAGTGTTAACACAAGACACAAGCACTATCTCCATAAACCTCTCATACTTTCAGAAGAGTAGGTATTATGCTGGGATCAAAATATTCAATAATCTGCCTATCAAAAGTTTTATGAACGGAAAGCACATTCAAAATAATGCTAACAACAATTCTTAAAATACACACTCATTCTATTCTGTTGATGAAAACTTATTGTCTACAAAGTGACTCATCCATTTAAAGGTTGTGTCAATATCAAGTTGACAGCATTAATGTATATATGTGGATGTATTTTTTGAGTAGCCTCATGTGTAACCACTGTTTTTTCTTGGGCTTTCTTGTATGAAAACTTTGGTTGTATGTATGTATATATGTTTTTGTATTTATGTGACATATTCCACATCCTACAGTAATTTTGACTAACTTTGAATTCAGAGAATGCAATGAAATGTAATTTAATATTACAGAATTCTTCATTGAAATAATCTTCTGTTGAATAATAGAATCCCCTAATAAGGAAGTCCTTCAATTCCTTTTTGAGCTGGTGGTTGTTGTTGTTGTTTTTGCCTATTTGTTTTATGTTTTTAGGCAATTTGTTATAGAAGATACAACCTGTTGCTGATGGTTAACTGCTATGAAGTTCTAAATTATGTACATACCTATGATAGTCATTACTTCTTGTGTTATATGTATGCCCTTGTTTATTTACTGTGCAGTTACACTTTTCTTTCCCATATAAGATTGTTTCTTGAATGTATAGTTAGTATACTGTTAATATCTTTAGTTGCCTAAAGCTGGTTTGCATGATTGCAGTTGTTTTAACCCTGCTATATTTGTTACAGCCATTTTTAGGAGGGTAAATATATTTGTCTATTTAGTTCGGTCCCCATACAATGAGTCCATATGCTGGAAGGGGATAAATCAAACCATAATGCAGTGTTCTTCTTACATTCATATCAAGTATTTTAGATAGTCTGTTAATTATAAATAAGTTATGGCTAATTCTACTACCAGTTCTTTCAATATATACTTTCCAGCTCGGGTTAATGACAAGTATGACCTCAAGGGAAATAGTACTCTTTACATTAACTGTTTCCCTATTCTTTATTAGGATTCTTAATTCACTTTCCTGTCTGCATTGCTTCATCTGGAAGAGAGTGTAATGTGTTTTGGTTGGATTTGTAGATAAATTTTTGTTCCAAAATACAGTCAACTCTCAATTATCCGGGATAATGGTGGGGATGGAAATCACAATTAATCGAAAACCCGGTTAAGACAAATTTTATTAAAAGTAGTACTGTAATACTGTACCTTCATAATACTATAGGTCTACCTGTATTTAAATTTATTCAACCTCATTTTTATGTCATCTCATGGCCTAGTTAATACTTTTTTTACATTACACTGAAGTATGAATTAGTTATTTCAATCACAGTCTTCAACAACATCCAACACTTTTTACAAATATTCACACTTAACACTTAAAAAAATTTAATATTGTCATTTACTTTTTTTGCGGCATTTTCCTTTTTCTGTTGAATACTTAACACAAAACACTTCCTTTTACACCCTGACATTTTGCTAACACACTTGAAGATCGATACAAAGATACTAACTGGGGCGATGTATCTGCCCTTGAAACTTTCCACAAATCCTTGCATTCTTTCACCCCTACCCTAGAACATTGTGTTAGCATAACGGGACCAAAGAATGCAGAGCTCGGTTCACACTAGTGCGAAAATAGTGTTACAACTCGCCATGTGAAACAAAAGTGAATGAATATTAAACAACATATAAGCCTCAAAAAAGCCTCAGTAGCCCCGGTTAAGCCGCAAACCGGTTAATCCACTCCTGGATAATTGAGAGTTGACTGTATTTCTATACTAAGCCTGTATTTTCTGAGGTTTCTTGGAGTTCGTTCCTATATTCAGTATTGATGTGTCATTGGCATACTCCCTTATGTTAGGTATGGTGCATCATTTACATATAAAATGTAAAGTAATGGACCAAGAACAGAACATTGAGGAACTCAGTATCTAATGAATGAATGAATGTAGAAAGGGTGGGCCTTCTTGGCCCTTGCACTGCAACCACAGTGATATATTGTGCCTCCTCTTCTGATTATCCCCTCAACAATCCTGTGCTTTGAATGAAGCATAGGATTTTGTACATGGGGACGTCAAAATAGTCACTTGGTTCCATAAAGTACTGACCCAAGTGACGTAGTCTTAAATAAGCTAATGCCTCACATTCACACAGGACGTGTGTGGCTGTCTCATTTTCTATCTGACACCTCTCACAAGTGGGACTGTCACTTAGTCCCAGTTTGAACAGGTGTCCTTTGAGGTGACAGTGTCCTGTAAGTAGTCCTACCACCCATCGTAGCTGGTTCCTGTTGAGCTTCAACAGTTCCTTCGCTCTTTTAGCAGCAGGTCCTCGTATGAGTCCCTTTGCTTGCCCTGAGTCCAGTTAAGGATTCCCAGTATTCCTTGTGTTTCATGTTAGTCCAGTCCCTGATTGCCTGTTTGGCAACTCCTAGAGAGATGCCACAGGCTGGTTCAGGTCCTATGAACGGGTGTTTGGCTCCAATTTTAGCTAATTGGTCTGCAGCTTCATTTCCAGCAATACCCTCATGCCCTGGCACCCATATCAGTTGTACCCTGTTATGTTTTATTTATTTATTTATTTAACATCCATAACT